GTTTTTGATTTTGATCATGGCTTCTTATAACAAGTAATCTTTTGATTCTAACATTTTTATTATGCTCAGAATTATTTCAACATTTGATTTAATGTAAATTAAATTAGCTTTCAAATTAGGATCTTTTATCAAATCTTGTGATTTTTTAATTGAAATAGAGTCTTCACTGTTTAATTGAAGAATTATTTCTTTAATAATTTCCAAGTTGTCACAATAATAAAAGGCTGCGTTTAGCCATGTACCCCAACGCGTTAATATTAGTTTTGGTGGAAGTGTTAGATTAGGGGCCATATTTTAGAAAAGTGTCGTACGCGATGGAACTTTTAAAAAACTTTTTTGACGTCAGAAATGAGTTCATCAACTTGAGGGAATTGATTTCTTATTTCTTCGGCAACCCTTTGTATTCGGTCGCAATTTAATCGATATTATGTGGCTATGAACGTGAAAATACAATAAAAACGAATAAATGTGCTATTAATAATAATATGCACTGTAAAACTACAAATATGCATTTAATAGGTTAAAACGTTAAAATATGCAAAATATGCAAAGTAAAATTAGTTTTATTTTAATAAGAAAGATCTAAATCGGGGACAATGCTCATCAGATTTCAAAAAGCTTATTCCAATGCATATATGCATTTGCATATAAATCCGGTCCCTAGTGATTACATTCACTACATCTCTCTAACCGTTGTGCGCACAGGTTTATTACATATCGTATCATTTCTTATCGTTGTTTCTAATATCAATAATAGTTTCATGCGTTACCTATACAATTATTTTTTGCTTGTTTATTGCTGATCTTGTTTATAATAATTCAAAAGTATCTGTGATTATATTAATTTCTCTCACCAAAAAGCTAAATATAAAAGACTCGCTAAATCTGACTATAAAAAATACATAAATAATGTTCAATCTTCTATAAAAAACAATCCAAAATGGTTTTGATAATTTATTAAAAATTCTAACAATAATAATTCACTACCTCAATCATTATCTTTAGATATAACGGTCGTAAATAATGGCAATGAAATCGTAAATCTTTTCGTTAAATATTTTTTTGACGCCAACTCTAATGTACAACAACCATTTAATTCTTCTTCTCTAAATACAAATTACATAAATTTATACTTCAATTTAAATCTAAATTCCATCTCCTTTACTGAAATGCGTATCCTTAATATGATCTCTAATTTCAAGCTTAGTTCAAATACAGGCCCAGATGGTATACCTTCTATATTCATCTAAAACTGTAGATTTATCATAACTCCAGTTTTAACTACCTAATATCTTTAAATTAACTCTCAATAAAGGTTTATTCCCTTCAATTTGGAAAACTTATTTTATTTCGCCAATTTTAAAAAAGGAGATCCTTCATTAATTTTAAATTGTCGTCCTATCTCCAAGTTATCTATTATTCCGAAGTTATTTTCACATTTAATCTAATCAAAATTATCAAACTTTTGTACTTTATTATTTTCAAATTATTAATATGGATTTTCTCCCAAACGATCTGCTTATAATAACTTAGCTGGTGTAAAAAATATAATCCTTCATTATTTTGAAGTGAATGCACAAACTGATATTACTTATACCGATTTTCCTAAAGCCTTCGATTGTGTTAATGATATAATTCTTATCAGAAAATTGCAAAATATTGGATTTTCAGATTCCCAACTTATCTTTTAAAGTTCACATCAACAAACCTTTCAATGACACAGATGATGTTTCACATTTTCATAATTTTTCTCTATTCTTTGACCATCGCATACTTTTACCTTTTAAATTCTTACAAAAATCAATTTTAGGTTTAATTGATTGTCCTGTAATTCTTTCTTTGATCCGTTTTAAAATTCATAACCTTAATACTAGATATCTAAAACCGTTTTGTTCACTTTTCTCAACTAAAAATTATATCTTAAACTCTCCGGCTAACCTTCTTATGAATGCAAGTAATACTTGTGTCTTTGATTATATTTAAAAATTATATTTTGGTTATATTTAAGAATATTTATTTTCTTTTTCTTAATTATATTCACTCTTTAGTTAATTTGTAATTAAGTAAAAATTATAATCTTTTGCACCATGTTGCTATTTTCTACACACAATGTTTAATATTATATTGTTAGCATTTTTAGAAATCGGTCGTTTAACAAAATTAAATAGAAAACAATTTTTAAATAAGTAGTAAATTATACGATAAAAACGGAATAATTTTATAGTTATACGTAAAAAATACAATAATGTATATTACCGTCATTTCATTTTTGGTAATTTATGCGAACTTTGTAGTGTGGAAAGAAAAAAACATATATATATATTATGTTAAAATGGAAGAGAGGGCTTTAGATAGTAGGTACGTGTTGTCAAACATACACAAAGAACAGCAGTGTAAACAACTTAGGTATGTATTGCAAGGGTACTTATGCATAATATAGGAATATCATATTAACATGAGAATTGAATTTACTCTATAGTCGTATACACGAGCTATACAGAATTTGGATTGTGATTGGGTGATCGGATCAGAAGCTGTAACTGACATTTGTGAAACATATACATGTTTATATTTATATACATAAAATGGTGACGATTTAACATAAACCGTTATCGATAATGTATTCGTAAAACTAATAAAGAATGTAAGGACGGAAATTATTTACTATTAATGATATACCAACTTATAACAATCATCAGGGTAATATTACTTTACAACATTATTAATTATCCGTACTATATTTAGTTTATGATTAGCTATAAATTATAAATTATAACCAACAATTTTATCATCGCTTTTATAAAATTAGACCGTTAGAAAAATGAGTAAATTTAAAGGGTTATCCGTACAAATAAAAAAATTCAAATTATATATAAAGTCGATAATATTGATAAGGAATTAAAATTATGAGTTTGTACAAAGATGTTCCTCGCTAATTTTGATTTAATATTCGAGTTGTAAGATGTTGTATAATAATGTTTAATCGGAACCCAATAGTGATAACTGAGTAAGTAAACATTAACTTAATTGCAATATGTTTCTATAACTAAATATACATTTGAATTTTAATTCGTGATACAGTAAATAAACCGATCATAAGCAGGGGTCAGATGGACAAATATTCAGGAGTAGCAAGAGCATTACGTTGGAATCTTGTTATATAACAGCACTCTGCAAATCATTTTTGATAAATACAAAACTCGAACTCTAGTTATAACAAATAAATAATAAATAATAGGTAAGATATATTGATACGTACAATTTACATGTATAATCAAATAAAATTACAAACTTAAACCAACAATATATAATATATTTATATACCTTAATGTTGATTTTATTCTCTACAATTTTGTGTACAGAACTGGCAAGAGGGTAGGGCAGGAAGAGCTAAAATCCTGGGGCCTGTACTTCTGAGAGGGCCGGTCGTTATATCTTTTATACAAAATTATTTGATAATCTCATTCGCCGTTGCATAAGATGTAAATTTTAATATTTGTTCAGTATTAAATTATATACAAGTATGTATATCTTAGCCAAACAAATTTAAGTAAAGGGGGCCTAGAATCGATCAGCCCCGGGACCCTCAAAATTTATCATCGACATTGTATGTGTATCATTTGGATCGTATAAACAATTTTAACAAGGGAAATCAAATGACTCGGAGGGTTTTAAATCATTACAATATTTCTTCAAAACATGTCTATAATAAATATGTTATAAGACGTCTAACAAATAATAAAAGCAAAGAAAAAAGCACCTACGATAATAGAATATCTGTTTAATTATTAATAATATATACAGATTCTCAATAGAAACATATGAATAAAGAAATTAATTTTTATCAGTTAAATATAAACATGATAGCTAGTTTATTTTTAATAAACGTTCTTAATTATTGTAATACTATTATAGGAACGTGATTATTTCTAAACATAATAAAAATCATAACAGGAGTACTACCAGATAGGTAATTTTTAATTGATGGTATTTCTTAGACCATATACAGTTGATAACTATATGGTCTAAGAAAAAACGACTTACATCTTGTTTTAAAAATAATAGACTCGTTTTTTTTTCTTGTTTCAAAAAAAAAACGATTAGAACAAATATTTTATAAAAACTGTGTACCAATTATATAGAAATATATTTACTTTGAGGTAGAAAATAAGTTTTTGTAATTAATTCATCGGTAAAACATAAAAATCTGATGCAACTAAGGTGAAAATTAAAATACAATTTTGTTAAAAAGAAAAGAAATTTTATTTGCTGCATCTGACGGTTATGTTTGAGTTTAAATTTTATTATTACACAATGTTTTCCTATTTTGCAAAAATTAAAATTTTCCATTAATTTTTAATAATATTATTGGTTACATACTATAATTTAATTTAGATAACGTTTTTATGTTAGCTATAAAATAATTTAAATCGAGTCATTGAAAAGTTTACTGTTAGTGTCTACTTGAAGTTTATTTAAAAAAAAAAAAATTATGGTGAATTTTTACAAATATAAAATCCTTTCTCGGCCTTTTAACATTCTTGAGAGTATAATATTGTATTTAGTATTATATATATAACAATTCCGATTGATACACAATACTTATATACTCAGAAAATTAATTTGAAGAGATACTAAATAGAGTTTTCTTCCATGATTCCAAGTACTGTTCAAGTGAATCATTAAAAGTAATACGTAGTGCTGCCCGAAACTTTTACGGCAATCAGGAGAAAAGGAACCAAAAACTTGATGAAGTAGGTGTTTGTGTAACAAACCGTGCCTTCTCCGCAATACGTAATTGTGTTAAACGTGTTACTATTTCGTTGGTTTTCATTATATCAAAAATTGGAATTGGGTTCATCACCGTCTAACGTAAACGCAGCACCGTAAGTATAGGAGTTATGATTAAACAGTAACTTATGACGTTTATTATAAACCAATGGCCCACGCCAAGTTGAGCAAATCGGACGGTTAGGTTTTATGATTTTAACATATCCGCCGTCGTGTTGGCCGCGACGATCGCGTGATCTGTAGAAAATATTCAGTTACGACGACAGTAAAAATACGGTAATTAGGAACGCGTTACTTCGCCAAAAAAAAAAAAACTTGTTTTTCAAAAAAAGCCGACCGCGAAACCCAACATTGGTAACGACGGAAAATCGGAAACTCATATCGCGCGCGCCCACAACAGCCGTCCAAGCCCAAACCGAACGGCGGGGGTCCCGGCGCGGCAGGTTTAACGACCAATTGGACGGAGAACGGCGCAGTTGTTACAGTCGTCGCCGAGGCCGAAACATGGCAGCCGCCGCAGCGAAGGACAAAGGCGCGTCCCGATGCCCGAGGATGGTGTTGGTGTTCAGCGGTAAGCGGAAATGCGGAAAGGATTACATTACCAACGAGATCCACAAGAGGTGACGACGACCGATTGAGTTGATTCGATCATTTCAATCGTTCTACTTACATAATAATTATTTATCACGTTGTCCGGTGGCGGAACTTTTTGTCTTTTCTTTTTTCTACAATTTATGGCGCTACAAAACCGCTTGCGCTTGTCGGCTTAGGTAAACGTAACGTAGTGACTCGACGAACGTTCTTAACATGTTTCGTGAATAATTCATTCGTTCAACGGTGGCGCCTCGACGCGATCTCATTAACGTAACACTCCACCGTTACAACAATGATAGTATTATCACTACTATGTTAACCGCACGGGTGGATAAAAAAAACAATCCTCCACCCATAGAAAAGAGATTAAAGATGTGGAGAAGTTATCTTCTGTACATCGTGCCTTCACACCGTACAGTCAAACAGTGCAGCCACTGTTTTGTTTTCGAACACAAAACGCTCACGCATACGAATTTTCTTCGAGAACCATATTTTTCCATCGCAGTCCGATTTTTTTTTTCTGTTCTACAACTTTATTAAATCACTCATTGTTGTTCATACATTTCTTCTCGTTGTTGGGTTTTGTAATAATATTCGCACGTTCTAAATTAATAACGGTCTGATTATTGTTATTACTATCATTACGATGATAGGATTTTGGGTGTGAGGTTATGTTGAAATTCGTAATTTTTAAATGCAATATAAAAACAGTAGAGTATAATTTATTTTATTAAGTATTTTATTTCATTTAAAAGTTTTTATTTATGTTAACAAACGTGTTAATGATTAAATAACAATAACAGCAATAATGTTGTGTAATAACTTAATAAAATTTATAAACAAGACCTTTCAAAATGTATCTACAAGTCGAATGATTACATCAAGTCTAAATGTTCGTTCAATTTCAACTCCAGTCACCCAAGAGTATGTTGTCGATGATACAATCGCTCTTAAAAAATACTCCGATGATATAATCAAAACAGTCAATAAAGCAGTAAAAAGGAACAATCGTTTATTTGCTGTCGTACATATATGTGGAAAACAATTCAAAGTAACTGATAATGACTTAGTACTTATAGATGGTTATTGGCCACCAAACGTAGGCGATCGCATCAAGTTGCAAAAAGTGCTACTAGTTGGAGGCATGGATTTTACTCTGATTGGTAGACCAGTTTTGAACCCAGATACTGTAAACATCACTGCAACAGTAGTTGACAAAGATCTGTCTCATACCAGAACAAATTTTAAACGTATTAAACGTAAACAATACATGAGAATCAATTTTATCCGGAAAGAAATTACCACCCTTAGAATAAACTCAGTTAATATAACTCAAGATATTGATGTAAAGAAAGATGTTCAAGAAATAGGAAGACGTATAATGTGATCATAATTAAATGCTTGTCATACGAATTGATTGTAGTTAATATACATATATAATGCACTTAGACTGTATATTTAATTATTAATGCTTTATACAAAAACTGATTTGTTAAACATTTTAAAATTAATTAAGTTATTACTTAAGAATTATTTTGTCATTTTTAAATTATATTAAATTGATAATTGTATTAAAAAATGAATACCATTTTTCACAAGTTTTTTCTTTGGTTCTTTGTTCATATTATTTTAAAGACATGTAGTATTATGCTTATGAAAATTGAGAAATTAATTTGATGAAGGAATTATGATACTATTATCTATTACTCTTATCATTGCCATTCAACGAATTACTGATAGTGATACTAAAAATCATTTTCCATTAGAATTTTAAGTTATGGATGATTCTATAGTTCATTATTAATTATAATTAAATAAACGATTTCCTAACTTTTACATTCAATATTTCACATAAATGTCTTCTTCAACCTTCGGCCAAAAGAGATTTCAACCTTCACCTCCAGAAAAAGGTAGTTTCCCTTTAGATCACGAAGGCCAATGCAAAAAATCTGCATACAGGTACATGTTTTGTTTAAGTGTAAATAACGGAGATAACTCAAAGTGTCGTCAACAAACCAAAGAGTACTTGGATTGCCGTATGCAAAATGATTTGATGGCTAAAGAAGAATGGACAAAACTTGGTTTAGCTGATACTGAAAAATCGAAAAATAGTAGTAAACCTGAATAACCATGCCACATGTACTTATCGTTACCAGCGCTAGTGTTGCGGCCATCAAAATACCCAATATTATTTCAGAACTTTTAAAAAATAACATTCATTCAACATTGGTCATTACAGAAGCTAGTAAGCATTTTATAGACATAGAAAAAATTTCAGAAGATTTTAAAATTGACGTTTACACTGATCAAAATGAATGGGATGCTTGGAAAAATAGAGGTGATCCTGTATTGCATATAGAACTTGCAAAAAAAGCAGATCTTCTGCTACTTGCTCCATTGAGTGCCAATACCATGGCCAAAGTGAGTACTGGAATTTGTGACAATTTGTTGACGTGTATTGTTCGAGCTTGGAATGTTTCAAAACCAGTATTATTTTGTCCATCAATGAATACTCAAATGTGGAATCATCCTATTACTAAAGATCAGGTGGACAAATTGGAGTCATGGGGCTATATTCTAATCCCTCCAATTGTCAAGACATTAATGTGTGGGGAATATGGTATTGGTGCAATGGCTGAAGTAGAAACTATTATAACAAAAATTATAAATAATGTTCATTTTCAATGATTTTTTAGATTATTAAAACTTATTTTATATTTAAATAGTTAGTGTATTAATAAATTATACAGTTCAAATTCCATGTAAAATTGTGTTTTCAATTCTAATTTTAATTTATGATTGTTATTGTTTAATTCAAATTTACCTGAAATCCTCATTAAATAATTATTACAGAATAGGATCAGAAAAGTGTGTAATAATTCGTCTTTCTGGTCCTATTAAAAATCATTGGGCCCAAACTAATTCGCTTCAACTCGATGAACTTCTCAGTGATGGAAAAATGAAAGAACAACATAGAAAGGCAATGATTGAATGGAGTGAAAATATTCGTTTTAATGATCATAGTTACTTTTGTCGTAAGGCTATAGAAATGTATGATCAAAGTTAGTATCTCCATAATTCAACTAAAACTAGGAAAAATACGAGTTTTAATTTCATATATTTTTTAGATTGTTCAAAAGAAATATGGATTGTAAGTGATGCACGGAGGAAGACTGACATTGCATGGTTCAAATCTAATTATAATAATTTAAAATTAATCAGAATTACTGCTGATGAATCCACTAGAAAAGAAAGAGGATGGAATTTTACACAAGGTATATCAAATACACCATGACTATTGATTATACATAATTATTATATACCTATCAATTCCTATATTACCTATTATACATTAATACATACTTAATACCAATTAACAAACAAATAAATAAATAAAATAACAAAAGTAATTATTAAATATAGTTATAAATACATATTTTTTAATTGTAAAATTATACTATATTAAATCATATAATATAATATATATATATCAGTTACATGTTTATTTTTCAAATTCAGGTATTAAAATTTAGAATAATATATTAATAATACCTAACTAGCTGGATACTTAAACTAGAAGTACAACTATTATTAGTATAACTAAATACCAATTACCTAATTATAAAGTTTAGTTTAAGCATTAATCAAATGTATCACTATTCACTTATGTATATTTAAATCAGTCAATTTTTTTCAATGACTTGTTCTAATTTTTACTTGATATGTTGATAAGCTGCATTTATAAATATTATGATACCTATGAACCTATAGCATATAAGTGAATATATCAGACTTCAAGAAAATATATATTAAGAATGAACCTTATATAAATCTGTTGTCTGTAAGAACTGAATAAGGATAAATTTGATATTTAACTGACTACCTACTTAATCATTTATCAGGATTGCATTTTGAAGTTCTCGTTATAGACTCATTATAATTCCAAATTATGGAAATTTCCTGGTGAGCACTTTAAATCAAAAAATTATAATACGAGTAAATTAAAATTTTTAATTTTATTTATATTTTTTACTTTTAGATTTTACTGTTTTTTGTACATATTATTGAACGTAGTTACATATTACAATTGATTATTTTGTTTTTAAATTAAATGAAATTAATTAAATTTTTTTAAAACTAGAATCCACAGTGATGCTTATTTGTATTTTTATAATTATTATAATTATCATTAAAGTAGTTAAATTATTATTGGTCATTAAAGTATTTAATATATATTCAATATTAATTATGTAAATATTTTGTATAGTAACTAAAGCTTAAAATATATTAGAAAATATTCTAAACAATTCTACTCTGTGCTTAATTAAAAATAATAAAACTAGGAAGACATTTTTTAAATTTTTTATTTTAAAAATCAGGATATTTTTTTAATCCAATACAAAATCATTAGATTATGTCTTATTTAAAACAGGTATACTTGTATTTTTTAATACTCATTCCTTGTTCAATTTTAAGCTCTGTACCTAGTAAACTACTATAATTTAAAATATAAAATAACTATTTTGTGTATTTTGAAAATATTTTTAATATTTCTAAATTTTTAGGAATTGACGATGCACCATCAGAATGTGATTTGGATGACCAATTAGGATGGGATTGGGTTGTTGAAAATAATAAATGTGATGATTGCAATGATTTTATCAACGAAATTGTCAAAATCATACTCGGAGATTGATATTATATATTTTATATATTTAATTTATATATTACATACATTATTTGCAGTGGTTTCTATATTGATATAAGTGCTCATACATATATAAATGTACTTACAAATTAAAATATTTTTTTAATTCACAGTTGCATATCACTAGATTACATTTATTGTTTATTAATATGTTATACAATTTATATTTACTGAAAGTTATTTATTATCAACATTATATTATTGTTTTATTCATTGATTTGGTCATATAGCTTTTGTCTCTAATGAACACCCATTTCTCACCTTTCCCTTGGGTTTTTTAAAGAAGTGTAAATTAATCTCTAATAAAAAGTTATAAATGTTTTGACTTAAAAAACAAGGAAAATTTATATAATATTGTATCCATTCATTTATCAATATAAATTTTTTTTTTTAAAATATGGAGGAAAGTTTCAATAATATATACTAACATTTAAATTTGACTGTAGATTATATCATTATTTTGGAGCAACTCTAATTATGTGGATGACACTAATGCTCTCATTGCAATTATATCTTTACTCAACATTAAATCCTGAAAACACCACTACTGGTTCAACTAATTATTGTATTGGTATAGCAGACCATAGGTAGAAATAATTTGAAGGAGATACAATTTTTCTCATGAACTTAGTTTAAGTTACTAAGTTACTTTAAGCTGTAGGAGAAAAGATCCCTACCTTAAATAACTGTTAAAAAAAATTTAATTTAACATGCAAGTATTGTACTAATTAAATTAGGTAGGTACTTAAAATAAAATAATTAACAGATAATTTTGTTCAGATCTGAAATTTAATAATAATGAAATAACATTTTCGAATACTTTATACTATACTGTACTATACTAGACTTATATTGTATATTATTGGGAAATCATTATCTTTTAGGATTTTGAAATTTCATTTTCAATAAATTCACTGTCAATACTTTTTATTAAATATTTTTTATGTGTAAAATAGATGGATTTGTAAAAAAATTCTTGATGTATAGAAGTTTTTATCCTCGCCTTTATTCTGTGCATAGTTGAAAACATTACTCAACGTTGAAGATCTATAACTGGTAAAATTAATGCTACTTGTAGCCAGTGGCGTATTTTCAAATTTTCTCTGAGGGAGGGGGGTCTAAATATTTAATATAAGTTTATAATATTATAAAGAAATACATACAAGTTATGATTTAATAATTAGGTATATTATTTATACTATATTAAATTTCACTATTAATATGAATATAAATGAATAGTTTTTTATATTAAAAAAGGTACCTAGACGTCTTTTTTTTTGCCAGTTCTTTTTGTATAAATAAATATCATAACTTGACTAAAACAATACGTGGATAAAAAATCCATTCTCCTGTGATATTGAAAAAATAGAAAATTTTTCTAAACAGAAACAAGATGAATTAATTGATTTGATGGATAACGGAACGATAAAAAAAAATTTCGAAGATAAAAAAATAATTGATTTTTGGTTAATTGTTCAAAATTTTCAAAAGCAACTGGCCGAGAAAGCTTTAAGTCATTTGATACCCTTTTGCACAACATACAGATGTTAAAAAGTTTTTATAATCTGCTAACCTACTGTTACTGACGCTGATTTATGAGCGCAACCGAATTTGGATGACATTATGAACAAAAAAGAAAAGTTTTACTTGTCTCATAAAGTTCGAAAATCAATGCAATAACTAATTTAAGTAACTAACTCATAATTTAATTGTAAAAAGTAATCGCAATAATGTTATATGTAAAATCAAGTGTAAAATCAAATAAATCTTTTTATATGTATATTTTTGTCAAATTAAAATAAATCATACATTCTTTTTATTTTCATAGTTAAATTAAATTGAAAAGTAAGTATTTACAAAAAAAAAATGGGTCACCGGATCAATCAGATTATAGCTAAGGGTCCGTGGCTTCACATGGGAATTGAGTAGGTAACACTGATATACACGAACACAATAATTGTAAAAATAAATTTGTAGTAGAGTTAGAGCGTAGCGAGAAAAAACATTTTTAATAGGTGTTTATTAAATCTTACTCCAATATTATGTTGTTTAGAGGCCCTTTGTAAATTTTTTGCCCGAGGTCTTATCATGAGCCATACCAACATTGGTTATAATTAGGGCTCGGATTTATATGTAAATACATATTTTTACTGTGACTTGATAAATTAATTTAGGTAAGTGATAAATTCGTTTCAAGAAATGTCCAATCAAATGAACTATATTTTATTTTACATATTTTTACATATTTTACCATAAGTACATGTTTTTACATATTTCTCAATAATTCCGTTTTTCTTACATATATCAACAATTTGTTCATTAACGATTTATTATTTATTAATACAAACTTTCCCATGTTTCCAAAATTACAAAATAATACCAATTATTAAATTTAATCTAATCTACTGTCGATATATGTTCGATTACGATTTATTTAGACATGTTTATTTTTGAAGTACTGACAGTGGGTCAGTATACTTACAGTAACGAACGGCCCGTGTTTTAATTTCGTGGGTTTAATCTGTGTTCGTCGTTCGTTATTTTATATTTACGTGTTAATTACCAATAATGCCGAAAGTACGATCGTCTAGAACTTGCAAAGTAATAAAATATGTTTCTGAATTTCCAAATGAACATTTACAAAGTGACGGTCAAATTTTGTATTGTGCTGCTTGTGAAAAATCGATAGCAATTGAACAACGATTTCAGGTAACACAACATTTACAAACTAATAAGCACAAAGAGAACAAAAATAGAAAGCTGAAATTCATACAAAATTTTTTGTCATCTACGTCTTCCTCAGTTTCTAATACGTTCAACATCGATCTATGTCAAGCTTTTATTAAAGTTGATATTCCACTAACAAAACTTCAAAATTCTAATTTAAAATCATTCTTGGAAAAATATACTGCACAATCGATTCCCGATGAAAGTACTCTAAGAAAAAATTATATTTAACCAATTTACAAAGAAACTCTTGTTTTTACTAGAAATTCAATTGGTGATGGATCCATATGGGTATCAATCGATGAAACAACCGATGTAGATGGTAAATTCATTACAAATATTATTGTTGGAAAATTAAATGACAGTAAATCTAATCCTTTTTTGGCACACTGTGAGCAATTAGATAAATGCAACCACCAAACTGTTGCAAGATTTTTTAATAATTCTCTGAGTATATTATGGCCCGATATAATTATGTACGAGAATGTATTATTATTTGTATCTGATGCCACGCCATATATGGTAAAAGCCAGTAAAGCATTAAATGCTTTTTTCTCAAAAAATGATCCACTTAACGTGTTTAGCACACGCATTTCACCGAATAGCAGAAACTATAAGATCAAAATTTACAAAAGTTGACGAGTTAATATCTTCAGTCAAAAAGATATTTTTAAAAGCTCCTAGCCGTGTCGAAATATTTAAAAATATGTACCCAGATCTAAACCTTCCTCCACAACCAATTGTAACTAGATGAGGCACTTGGTTGAATGCCACTAATTATTATTGCCAAAACTTTCAAGAAATCAAAAATGTTGTTGCCGAACTTGATGCAACTAGTTCAATATATATTGAAAAAGCTGAAATTCTTTTAGAAAATAATGATTTAAAAAATGAATTAATAAACATTTCTGTTAATTATTATTTTTTGGTTGATGTCATTATGAAAAAAGAAACTCAAGACTTAACTTTAGTAGAAAGTTTAAGTGTAGTAGAGGAAGCGGTAAAAAGACTTGAAAAAGTCCAAGGACCAATTGGCGATATTGTAAACGCTAAAGTTAAAAATTTATTACAAAAAAATTCCGGTCTAGCAGAAATGAAAGCTATTAAAAGTATTCTGACTGGTACTTCGACTGAAGCTTCATTGAATGTAGAACTTTCTCCTTCAGACATAGTCAACGTGCAATATTGTCCTATAACATCAGTCAAAATTGAGAGATCTTTCAGTCGATATAAAGCAATTTTACGACAGAATCGGCGATCTTTCGAATTCGAGAATTTAAAAATGCGTGTTGTTATTAATTGTAATCAAGATAATTAGATAGTTAGATAAATAATTTTTTTTATTACATTTCATTATATTATTCATTTAATTATTATTATTATTATTTTTTTTTTTTTTGATAATACATGTTATACATTTTTAACACATATTTATGTACATATTTTTGTTGTATAAATACATACTTTGGTTAAATAAATACATATAAATCCGAGCCCTAGTTATTACCGTTATTTATTAAAAATACTGTTCGTTATTGTATTTTCTTGTAATTTTAATTTAATTTTGTATTGATACTTTTTGACTATTGACTAATCGATTTTACGTCATATTATTTATAGCTTACATTTATTATTTATACTTATAATTCAATCTTGAAAAATTATTTGTTATACCGATTCGTAAAAACCAGACTTGGGTAAAATACTTTTTAAAAGTATTTAGAATAAATACTCGAATACTTACAAAAAATAGTATTCCGAATATGTATTCAAATACTTCATACAAATTGTATTCCGAATACTTTGAAAATACTTCTAGTTTTCATACTAAAAAAATAATAGATGTCCACTCAACAGAAATATTTGAAACTGTAGACTAAATATATGTTATTTTATTGTATTTTTATAATACATAACTGTTATAGGTTATGGTTTACAATAATAATAAATATCTGATATTAGCTTCAATGCTGGCCCGACGGTTTTCGGGGCCCGATGCAGAATTTTGCGGGGCCCCATACAAATATATTAATTTATTAATTGTTTATATAAATCTATGTTTTTTCGTATTATTATGTAACTAAATATATATTATAACTGTATTTCGAACTGTTGTCGACGATAAACAATTTTACAAGTGCATGCATGTAAAATACTTCAAAGCTATGCGTAATTGGTACCATCTTAATTTTTATCGATAACAACCCGTTTACTGAGAAGACCACGCGACCACGTGGGTGGCGATTTGCGTAGTGGGACTATATTATTTTTATTTACAAATTAAGTAATAATCGTAATATATAATTTGTGGGGCCCCAAGGTCGTATTTAGATATTTTTTTTGGGGGGGAGGGGTTGTGGTATTTTCGCTAACTGAAATTCCCTAATTCAGCCTATTAAAAACAAAAATTGGAAAATTATTATACAAAATTTATCTATAATAAAGAAAACAAGTAACAACTATACGACGTAAACCGATCACCGTGATAATGTTATTGGTTGTCGCCGTCACTTCTATACTACCCAAGTCTGGTAAAAACAAAAAGGATTTTAACTTTTGTATTTAAAATCGAGAATAAGTCCGCCTTTTCTAACCATCCTATCTTGGTTACCGCGAAGCAGGTAACGGTTGAAAAGTCGGTCTGATGAATGAGACTGTTTGTGTGTGTGTGTGAGTGTGTGTTTGTTTTTATTGTGTGCGTGCGTGTGTGTCAAATCTGTAATCATTTCAATATTTTTTCATTATCATCAACTATTTACAGCACGAAAACATCAAGTTGTTTTGTATTTTTCACATTCCTACAAAAGTCATAAACTCATAAGAAATGCTTTCGAAACAATTAAGAAATAGTTGAAGTTCGATCAAAAACGTTATTAGTTAACCATAAAATTCGCGTCTTTTTATTGTTTACTGCTCCAACTTGAAGGTTAGTATACTGTATTACTTGGTTATATCTTTTAACAAAAACAAAACACTAAAATTAGGTCTTTGAAAAAATTGAAACGCAGTTTTTTTTAACTCGGTCAATAGCAGAATTCTTATCATGTTTATATTTAGTTTATACAAATCATTTCTCAGTTTAATTAACTATGTTTTGTTTGTGAATATTATTTGAAGGTTCATTTACTTAACTGTAGAACTATTTTATTACTGATTCCGATTTATAATTAATATTTTTAACGCTGACTCAGTGTAATTTAATGTTAAGTAACAGTTTGCCTCCTCCCAACTAAAAGGTGTACAGTTATGCTGCAGTCGTGTTTTAAAATGACATCGAGCAACAATGCAAGGCGACTAGTTTATGTGTTAGCCAATAGGGCTTACTCCAGGAAATCACGACGTAACAAGGAAATTAGGGGAGAAGAACTTTTAGAGCACGAAGATGAACTTGTCATGGTAAGTTTTACTATTTCTATAAACAAATAATTGTATCCTAAATATTGTATACTGTAAATTAGTTTAACAGTTAAAAATAAATTCAAATTATATTTCAAATTCAAAAATCATAAACTTTTATTTCATATTTGGCCATATAACAAATGTATGAATGTTCATAATTTTTTTATTGAATTCAATAATTTTATGTCTTCTTCTTTGCGTCTTCTATTGTTTGATTGGTTTGCTGCAGTTCTCCATGCTTTCCTTTTGTTTTATGTCTTATGAAATATAAACCAAATATAAAGTTAGTAGGTATGTCATTATATATTGAAAAAGTTCTGAAAATTAATAACTCTGATGCTATCAGTTTATTTATGAACATTTTGAGTCTGAATTACGGTACAGGTGATGGTTTTTTTTTAATAATATGTTTTCAATCATAATATATTTGAATTCAACTTATTTATGATTGAAAAAAAATGTAATTGTGACTATTAGTCTAGTAATTTCAATATAAATATGTGTAATTCATTGACATTTTTAAATCAAATTCTCATTCTTTGTGTTGTATTAAATTAAAGCTCTCATCTATATTTTATTTTTAATTTGACTAAATTATATTTATGTGGTTGAGATATAATGAATGTTTCTTTAAAATTATATTTCTTAGTATTTTTTCTGGAGTTTACTTCATTAAAATCATAACAATTCAAAACATATTTTTATATAATAATTATTTTTTATCACACTCCCATTAAAAAAAAAGTATTTGCTACAAAATATGAGCCCCAATAATAACATATTTTTAAGTATAAATAGTTTGCAATGATTTGTAATTTAATAGAAGATTGAAGATTCTGAATTCCGAACAAATCCTAATTGGCAGTTGTTACCAAGACATAAAGATAGTCAGTTCAAATTACCAAATAATTTTGGTATTGCTCCTGAGGTAAGTTACATTTTATTTTAATCTATACTTTTAAAAATAAATATTAAGAATTAATGACAAATGATTGTAGAGTTCTGCATAGTTAAAAGTATATAATAATCAACTACTTATTATGTTTCTTTATAAGTATTGTGTTCAAAACGGGTTTATGTCTAAAACTTTCACATAACTTTCATAGAATTAATCGAATAATATTTTATTACATGGCAACATAGTTTTAATTTAATTCAACTTCTCTATATATTTCTCGATATATTTTTAAGGACAAAATGTATGTTTATTTCAATACAAATTATTTTATTGTAAATATTTTTTCATAAAATAAGTTTTCTTCAGAAATGAAATTTTAAATTATATCTATATTCCTATATTCTGTTATATACCATAATACTTATTTGCTATACTCTCACTTTAATTGGCAAAGGTTAATGGAAAATTGTCAATTTATTTCAATAAATTATGTATCTTATAAAGTTTGGGAATTTATATTATCAAAAATAGAGAAAAGAATATATTTATTACATTTATTTAAAATCAATGCCAATAGTAATTTATAATACAGTATTTTTAATATATTAATTTAAGATGCTGAGTATATTGTTTTTAAGGCTTAAAAAAATATATAAAATAATTATTACACTGATATATTACTACTAAAAAATTGATTTTTGAAATATATTCCTGAAAAAAATTAGCTTATGTCTTTATAGAATCTAGAACGATCAGTTCCAATTAATGAACTTATATTTTAAAACAATTTTGATTCCGATTGATAAACCATTCATTAACTTGGTTTTAATATATAATTTGAATTGTTTGTAAATATGAAGATGAAAATTTTCTTGTCATTATATTTATAGTAATATATATATATATAAATTTTAAACCATCTTAAAATAATGAATGGTTATTATTTATAAATTAAAATTATTATTTGTTAACAGGACTGTATTATAACCACTCGGCTAAATTACTATACGCAAGACTGTCCAGTTTTATTAAAATCAGGTTTGTAGTATAGTGTTTATTATTTTTTTTCTTATTTATGATTTCTATTTTATTTTATTTACTTAGAAATAACAGAACGGTTTAATGTACCTCATCTGAAAAATTACAATCTATGCATGATAACTATTAATTTAAAGCAAACATCAAATACAGATGTGTCAAATTTAACAAGACAGGTAAATAAAATCTTTAATTTTATTATTTTTAGATCATGAGTGAAACAAGAAATTATTGTTTATTAGTTTTTTTTTTACTTTAACCTAATTAAATACTTCAATTTTTATGTTTTAAAATGTTTTTAAGATTTGATATAAATTTTTTTAAAAAAAAAAAAAAATGTAATAGGACATATTATAAACTTGAAAATAAAATATATAATTTTGTTAGCTATAGTCTTATATAAAATATCTTGAAATGTCTGATAAATAATTACTTTATATGTTTCTAATATTTATATAGAACATTAATGTGGCCAAATGCTAATGTATTGTATGTGTTGTGTGTATTGTGTATAATGCTACGCGGGCTACTCTTTTGGTGACCACATTATATGATATATGAAATTAAATCAAGTGGATTTGGCAAATTATTTTAAATTTAAAGTTTTGTCATTGTATTTGTAATTCTTATATATATTCAAATTTTTTTCAAAACCCCATTTAAATTTTTGACCTGTACATAATTTCAATAATTGAAATAGATAATTTAAAAAATTTAAAAAAAAAATTAAAAAACAATTTAAAGATCAATTAATTAAAATATAAATCATCAGATTTGATAGGTCATTTGGATTTGATATTCATGAATTTATTTTTTATTTTGTTACTATTAAAGTAATTTAAACTTAACTTTCAAGTAAACTATACTGTACGATGAGTGTTTTAAAAATAAAAAATACTTATTTCAGTAGCCCTATTTACTTTTATATCCTTTTCAACAGTTATATATATGTATAATTTTTAGTATCTACATGCTGCTTTTGGTATCAGTGATCGTCTTCAAAATTCAGGATATTGGGCTGACTTCATACATCCATATACTGGACTTCCAGCCTTAAATCCAGGACTGAATATTGATTTTTCCACACTAGAATTACCGTACAAACATACTGTTTATCAAGTTAATACTCGTAGAAAATGTAAAGTCATTGTAGAAAAGCCATCTATTAATACTATTGGTAAGCAGCAAAGTGTATTTTCTTAAAATATAAAATATTTTATTTAACTAATCATTCAAATACATTAGATTATTATTGAAATACTCCTCTAGTAAATCTCTGTTTAGTAAATCATTAGAAAAACTTATTTCATTTATATTATTGTGAGATTTATTTATGGTTATATTATAAAATCGCTTATAGGAGAATTGTGTTTATAAGAAAAAAATTGTTAATTTCAGTATCTATAATTTATTTGCAATTATATTATATGAAATTTATTTTTATTTTTTACTTTTGTTTTAGGTAATATATTTACGAATGCTTTACCTTCAAAAACTGATCTTGTTGAGAATATTTTGGATGAAGTTAGTGATTTACATCAAAATACTTATGATTGAAATTTATTTTTTCTTTAATTGTTAAAAGATTAATATAATGTATTTTATTTGTAATCAAATTTTCAATTATTAGATGTGATACTTGTTATGAAGATATAATGTAATATATATGACAAATAATTTTGTGTATATATATATATATATATTATCTTTAAAATTGATAAATGAATTCTGTTTATTATTTAATGTTGAAATTGTATTTGTTTTGATAACTGTTATTTTCATCTACATTGTTTGGTATTGTTCATTAAGCCTTGTATACATAATAGCAGTTGTAAACATTTGATTAATTATAAATAACTAATGTTTTATTAATGGCTACATTTAGTTTATGTTTAGGTAGTATCAACAGTGAAGTATGATTTGGTTTAAGGGAGGAGGCATAAATATAAATTAAAACTATAAATTATGAATTTTTTGTTTTTAAACATTATTTAATACATGAACTATTGAAAATTTGTATTATTTTATACTTTAGGGTTAATTTAGAAGTATGTACCGTGAAAAAAGAACACATTCTGATGACATAAAACATCATTCAAAACACCAAAAAACAGATAATAGGGCTTTTACTTTTTTGGATTACAAACGAGTTTTAGAAAAAGTGTTTTTCAATGATGATTTAGTTGAAGACATTAATGATGTATGGCTATTTGTTAAAAAGTTTGAATCATTTACGTTGAAAAAAACTATCACAGATAGTTCTGATACTCCTAGACTGAAATCTAATCCTCTAAAACTTCCCGAAGTATTTGATAAAATGCATCTAATTAATTTAAAAATTAAATATTCCGATGATGAGTTAGCTTCAAGGTTACCTACATATGATCAAGAAAAAGTTTACCAAAAAAGACCATTAACTAAAGAAGATATATTAAATTTCCGTCAATTGCTTCTTATGTACATGGATTTTAAACAAAAAGAAAAGTTTAATAAATTGAGAAAACTTAGAGAAACACAAATTAGTTTACCAGTCTATCAGTTTAAGTGAGCTTAATTCAAAAAATTTAATTAAATTTGATATACAATATTTTTATTTTTTTTTTTGGTTTAGAAATGAAATCATCAAAGCAGTAAAAGAGTATAGGGTTGTCATTATTGCCGGAGATACTGGATGTGGAAAATCTACACAGATTCCACAATACTTATCGAATGCTGGATTTAAGAGAATTGGTACAATAATTAAAATGAAAATTTTCTTATCCATAATTAATGTTAATATTAATTTATAGCTTGCACACAACCTCGACGTATTGCATGCATATCGTTATCAAAGAGAGTAGCCTATGAATCTTTAGCCGTTTATAACAATGATGTGGGTTATCAAATTCGATTTGAAAAAACTGTTAATAAAAATACAAAAATTTTGTTTCTTACCGAAGGATTACTATTAAGACAGGTTATTATTTTTAAATCTACATTTTTAACAAAGACTTAAATTTATTTAAATTAAAGTTTTGAAATGATTATTTAAAATATAAAAACTAAAGGAATAATTTTTCTAAATAGTTTAATAATAATAGTATAAATAGTTTCTAAATAGTAGTTAGGTAATTTAAATATTTAATTAATTAAATTTCTTAATTTAGGTTTGTGGAGAAGACTTATTATCGCAATATGATGTTATTGTGTTGGATGAAATACATGAACGACATTTACATGGAGATTTTTTGTTAGGTGTTATGAAATGCTTGTTACATCAAAGATCTGATATAAAACTTGTTCTTATGTCTGCTACTATTAATGTAGATCTGTTTAATAAATACTTTTCTCCGTTAGCCAAGTTGATACAAGTAAATTGTGCCTACGAATATTTGTATTTTGTTACTATAAAAATATATATATATTGTTTAGGTACCGGGTCGTTTATATCCTATTAAGTTGGAATATCATCCAGTTATTAGTGAAATGAAAGTTCTTGGTAAAAAATCAGAACGTTTTGATCCGTCACCATTTATAAAAATTATTCAAATGATTGACAAAAAATATCCAAAACATGAAAGAGGTGATGTTCTTATGTTTTTAAGTGGTATGGCAGAGATTACTGCAGTTGTGGATGCAGCTAGAGTTTATTGTGAAAAAGTTGATTCTTGGATTATATTACCTTTGCACAGTTCAATGTCATTGGGTGAACAAGATAAGGTACAAAGAAGAAAAAGTGCTATATATTATAGTAAACATTCTATAATTGTATTTTGATTTTAGGTTTTTGATTATGCACCTGAAGGTACAAGAAAGTGTATTGTATCGACTAATATAGCAGAAACTTCAATTACTATAGATGGCATTAGATTTGTAGTTGATTCTGGTAAAGTCAAAGAGATGAGTTATGATTCTACAAGTAAAGTGCAAAGACTCAAAGAATTCTGGGTGAGCAAAGCAAGTGCTGACCAACGTAAAGGGAGAGCTGGTATATTTTATTGTATATCAATCAAAATATTCTTTATAATATTATGTTATGTTTTGCTCAGGTCGTACGGGTCCTGGAGTTTGCTACCGTTTGTATTCTGAAGATGAATTTGAAGCTATGGCAGAATACAGTACACCAGAATTACAAAAAGTACCCTTAGATGCATTATTACTTCAAATGGTGGCCATGGGATTACCCAATGCTCGACTGTTTCCATTTATTGAACCACCACAAGCTGAAAATATAGAAAATGCCATAGAGTCTTTGAAACAACATGTAAACGATAAACAACTATTTTCTAAAAATATTTTGTTACTTAAGTTTTTTACTATTTTACTTTCTAGCTTATTCGTTATGAATTCAAATTGAGTCAATTTAAAAACTTAAAAAAAAAAATTCTAGTTATTAAATCTTAAATCATTATCCATGTACATATTTTTAGGGGGCTTTGACAAAAGAAGAAAAATTAACACCAATTGGAAATATGTTATCACGTCTTCCAGTTGATATACCTCTTGGAAAAATGTTAATAATGGGATCTCTTTTTGATCAATTAGAACCTGTCTTGTCATTAGCATGTGTACTATCTGTACAAACACCATTTACAAATAAAGCTTACAAAGATCCTGAATGTGAGGTAAATTCATCTAAACTATAAAATTAAGTCATAATATTATATTGTGATTTTTTTTTTTTTTTAGAGAGCAAGGATGGATTTAGAATCAGATCATGGAGATCCAATAATTTTACTCAATGCATTTAAACAATGGTTGGAGTTAAAAAGTGATGGTCAAAATACCAATTCACGACAGTGGTGTAAAAGAAGAGGATTTGAAGAGCAACGTTTTTATGAAATGACCAAACTACGACGACAATTTAAAGATTTGTTGGATGTAATTTATATATTCTAATTAATATGTGTAAAATTGAATTTATGATTTTACTGTTAAATATCAGGAATGTGGCTTAAAAAAGAATGAAGAAAAAAATATGGATGATATGACAAGTGCTGAAAGAGCACTTAGACACGGTGAACTTAAACTGTTACGCGACATGAAAAAAATTCACAAAGAAGAAGATTCGAGAAAAAGAAAAGTATTAAAAAAAGATATGTGGGAAATAGAAGAAAATTTAGATGCAGAAGATGATTCAGTTGATATAAGAGATATAGATTTTAGACTGAGACACAATCAACGTCAAGTTAAAGTAAAAACTTATTAGATCATGTCATATAAACATCATACTGAAGTACAAATGTAATTTTTTTTTCTAGCAACTCTTGAAAGGATCTACTGCAATTAGCTATAAAGACTTAATGATGTTAAAAATTATTTTAAGTAGTGGGCTTTATCCTCATTTAGCAATCGCTGATGATTTCAATTCATGCAAGGTATAATTATTTAAAGTTTCTCTTTTCAGAGAGTTATTTATTTATTTCAAGTACAATTCTATAAAAAGAATATACCTATTGATTAAACATTTTTATTTATTTTTAAAGACATTTTGGTATTAAAACTACGAAAGTAGTTTATTGGTGTTGCATATAAATTCAGTTGTTAGCCTCTCTGTAAATTAGGAAATTTGAAATATTGTTAACCAAGTCAACAATTCTTAAAAGTTCATACAATAAATATAACTATTTTATTTCCATAATTGTAACTTGCACTTAGTTATATTTATACCAAACTCACAATATCTATTTCATCATTAATGTGTTCCTAGAAAAAACTGACAAAATATTGTTTCTTTATGCTATCAGTATACTATTTTACTTATGTATCTCACATTCTCGCCAGTTAGATTTTTAATTTTATGTGATACAGTTATAAAATTTAGTGATTTATGATAACATTTGAATTAATATGTTAAATTAATACTTACTTATTAATTTATAGACTACCAAGGAACATTTATTTCATACAGAAGGTAAACCATTTGTATCCCTCCATCCTATGAGTTATTTTGGTAATCATTCAGATGTACTTCAACTTACCGAATCTGAAATAATCTATGTTCCTGAGTTTAAAGGGAAAAACACTGTAAGCTCCAAGCATCAATTATTGGTATATATGTAAGTACTATATTTTATGATTAAATCACATGATGGTTAATCTTGTTAAAGTTGAAGTAAACTCTTAAACAATATATTTATGAATATTATCAAATGGATTTAAAGTATTGTTCATGAATTGCTCTCAAAATAGATAGGTAATTACTATTATTATTTTACTACAGTTTAATAATTTAATTTATTTTAACTATACTATTTTGAAAATTATATTTCTTTAAAAATAATATAATAATGATATTGATAATATTAATTAATTAATAAAATTACTTATAATTCACAAAAGAGTTTAAATAAATATATACAGTATAATTTTTTGACGATCTATCTCTTTAATGAATAAAAAACAAGTGGAATCTTTACACTGGATTACATTATACAAATAAATAATTGTAATAATCTAAATACAATACCATTTACTGTGTTATTATTTAGTAAATAATATTGTTATGATGTTTAAATTGAATACATACCACTCAACTAAAATGTAATATTAAAATATATTACAAAAACTAAAATAAAAATACTTTGTTTTATCATAGATAAAATTAAATGTTTAAATTATGATATCACTTTGAAATTTAATGGTAACAGTAATCTTGGACTTAAAACTTCTATGAAGTTTACTTAATCTTGGAAGTAAATACAACTAACTTTTAATAAATGATATAATATTATTGAAAGTAATATTTAGATTATAATAGATTTTATATTTACTATATGATAATCATATTTTAAGTATATAATATAATATCTGGTCAGGGTTGGATCAAGGGGGGGGGGGCTATAGCCCTGGGCCGCAAGTTGAAAGGGGCCACAGGGTGTCAACTCATTTTTTTTCAAAACATTATTATAACTTATAAATTTTAAATTTGTCATATGAAAATGGACTATGGACTTGGATACTTCATTACCGACACACAAGACCCAATTATAAGTATAGTGGTCGTCGCTTCTTGCAACTCGTTATCGAACGGGTTTCCGGCCGATCCGTCAACGCGATAAATATAATCGGTTAAATTTATTTTTAAACCTAGTACATTACACGTTCGATGAACGACAAACATGTACTTTTGCAGCCCGTAGGTGCAGTACTGATTATGTTAGCTTAGACTGCAGACGCTAGCTTAAGATTTCCGATTGTTTATTACTTTATTATCATATAATATTTAAAGCTCCTTTTAAAACGTTATAAATTTATTGAATTTATCTATCAAGTGTGATTTAATAATCATGTCTTTCCGAAAACATGTTACTCGTTTACTTGATTACTTTCTTTCGACACGAGGTCTTGCATTTCGAGGTAGTCATGAAGTGATTGGAGTTACGGATAATGGTAATTATTTTCGAATACTTGAGTTGATTGCTAAATTTGATACTGTGTTGAAAGCACACATAAAAAATTATGGTAACAAAGGCAGGTGCAGTGTATCTTACATATCAAAAACCATCTGTGAGGAACTTATTGGTATCATGTCTTTAAAAGTGTTTGATCACATTATTGATGAAATTATTAAATCTAAGTATTTTGGTATTGTCGGTTATATTATATATTGTCGGTTGGTATTGAAAAAATCCATTAATAATTAAGTCAAAGTTTACTCTCGTGATCTAGAAGAAAGTCTATACGACGAATTGAAACAATTCATTGGTATGGTTAAAGTCAAGGAAGATAATAAATTAATAAAAAACCCGGTTAACATGTTACAAATGATTGTTGATGATAATCTCTCGGGCGTTTTTCCACATATTTATGTAGCGTTCTGAATTTTTTTAAGTATACCAGTTACTAACTGTGAAAGTGAACGATTTTTTTCTGCACTAACAATAATTAAAAATAAATATCGTTGTATGATGGGTGAATCAAGACTGACATCTCTATCTATTCTTTCAATAGAGTGTGAATTTACTATGAATATTTCATTTAAAAATATTATAAAACAATTTGCCCAGGAAAAAGTTTTTCAAACATAATATTATATAAAATTAAAAATATATATGTATATTTTTTTTATTGCATATGCCGAAAAATTTATAATATGATATAAGAATAAAATGTTATTTAAAAACAATGCTATACTTATTTTAATTTATATTTATTACAAATTAATAAATCAGAAGAAAAAAAAGAAATTGTTTTAGGTAGAAAGGCCTCAATAAAAGTAATAGCCCCATTTATATTATGACTATAATCCGTCCCTGTATCTGGTATATATTTTAGTAGACCCTAGGGTTGCCATGCATCCTGGAAAACCGGGATTGTCACCGGTTTTGGACTTTGCGTCTTGGTGTCCTAAAAAATGTTTTCGGGACGTCCATATTTCCTGGCTTAGACGTTTAGAGGAAATGTACTATTGTTTAATTTTTAATTTTGACTATTTTATCTCTAAGTACATTGTTAATTGTAATCGATTTACAATATATAATAAAAACATAATTTATAATTTACACATATAAATATACAATATATTTTATTGTACAAAAATATTTTTAAATATTAAATTACCGGTTATTAATGGTCCTTTTCAGTGGCGTATACATAACTTGATCTAGACCTAGATCTGTTAAAATGTAATGATTAATTAAATTTTTTTTATTAGTACTACATTTCAGAATTTAAATCTTTATCATAATAATTTTCACAGTTAAAAGTTTAGGAGTTTGTTATTGTAAATTTAAATCTGATAATTCAGGTAATTAATTATAATCTCATCACAATAACAATATATTTATTTTTATTTTGGCTCTTATAAGTTTTCTCAATTTATTATTTAACCATGTGTTCATATCAAATTATGCACAATCATATACAAACACTAATCGAATAGGTACCTTGTATGGGCTCTTATTCAAAAAGCTAAAAGGACTTTTTTTTTTTAGTTTTATTTATATGAATAAATAATTTTACTTTCAAAGAATCATGATATATTATGATATGTTAACACAATTATAATTTATTTTACTCATAAAAATTAGAATTATTTGTGTTAAGTACTTAAAGTTCTACAGTGGTAGATGAACAAGTTATTATATACTTATTTTTACTTTATTCTTAAAAAAACTAAAAGTGTAGCTTTGTTCCAATTTTAATAATTTATAATATAATATTTTGTAGTATTGTACATATTTGTTGTACGTATAATAATAATTAAGGTAACAAGTACTTTATGCACAATATTCTAAAAGTTCTTCTCAAGTGTGTATTTGTGATGTATATATTAAAATTAATCCCATTGCATTACAAAAATATTTGAATTGTAATTGGTACTTTCTTATGTATGCTAATTTATTATAATGTGAAATGTAACAACATTTTTTTTAAATATTTGTTTTTTTTTTTTAGAAATAAAAAACACGTTTGAATACTTGTAATTTAAATTTTATGTTTACTATAAATTATTTTACACATGAATGTATCTTACATCTGGACTCGGTTCAGAATAACTTATTTGTTTAAAAATAATGTTAGACATTGAATACGTTACTTGTTTATTGAAAATATTATCTTTATTTTTAATATTATTTATAAATTATCTTATACTTTCATTATAATGTTTTCCTAATGAATATAATTGATATACAATTGTTTAGTTATATATTTGATAATATAAATTATATATAATTAACATAAGATAAATTTAAAAGGTTTAAAAAGTATTAAAATTTACAAACATCATGATACCGTGTATGTGTATACCAAGTTGGTAGGTACATGCAATATTAATTATTTTGCATTTAGTAATTCCATGTTTTTACTTATTCTGTAAATATTATCTTATTGTTGGCTATTAATTAGTAAAAGTCAACCGTCTAGACGTTCTTATATTTTATTTTCCCACAAAATTATTACCATGTTTAATAAACAAGCATCGCGAAGTTGCTTTTTTTAGGTAACCAATCATTAAAAAGAAAAGTCAATAAAGGTTTTTGGTGTTGATTTTTATTGTATATTTGGACATTTGATCAGGAATTTTTGTGGATGTGTAGTTCATGAGTTTTTTTTTTTTTTTTGGTTCCTACCATATGATCAGTGCCGAGTTAAACATTTGTGGGCCCCTAAGCAATTACAATTTTGGGCCCTACAAAATTATTTTTTACACACATCTTTAACATTAATATCCAATAATTAAAATACAGCTTTAATAATAACCAACTATTATTAATAAATAAAATCATGTTTATAAAAATTTTTTATTTGCAAGAAAAATTAATTAATTACTATATTATTTCTATTTTTTTCAAAATAATTTGATTATTACTGCATATAACATCTACAACTTATTATATATTATATTTCATAATGATTTTTGTCCCGTGAATTTGTAAATAAAATACAAGTATTATAATATTATAATAAAAAAAAATATGATTTATCATTTTCACAGGGCCCCTTAAATGAGTGAAGCCTAAGGCGGGCGCCTACTTCGCCTAATGGGTAAGGCTATGGTTACTATGGCTATGGCTATGGATGCGAATTCTGACGAAAATGTGTTTTGACGAGTTCTGACGAATTCGTCCAAACAAACACGTATTTTCCAATGAGTGTTTACATTGGCAGCGACGATCACGTCAGAACATACACGATATCGTCAGAAAAAATTGAGCGTTCAAACAAGTTTGATTTTTTCGTAGGAACTGCGTCTATTTCGAAGTGATTGAGATTAGCAAATTTGATATTTCACAATTTTTATACAATTTATTAATATTTATTTATTTATTTGATTTGAATGATGAATTCCGATAAATTAATCAGTATCGTGTACGAGAACAGGTGTTTGTGGGACATGAGAGAAAAAAATTACCACAACAGAGATATTTTTTCGTCTCTTCTTAAACATAACTGGTTAACTTGATCTGTTTTTCCACCATTTAACAATGATAACTTCATAAACGGATTTTCGAGAACACAAAATTCATCATGTTCGTTCATCTTTGCTGGGTGGCAGAAACGTACTGATTGTCAGAATATTAGAAAACTCGCACATGTAACCACCTTGTGTTCTAACGAGGATTTCGAACGTACTCGTCAGAACACCATTTTCATCAAAATTCGCATCCATAGCAACCATAGCCTAATCCGGCACTGCATACGATAGTTATTACACGAAATAAAGCGTATACCCATGATTTATTTTAACAATATATCAATGGTACTACATTATATAGAAAGTAGTCACTAAAATTAAATTATTTCATATCGAAAATATTCCTGGAAATTATTACGGGCGTGCTGAATACCGATAACCACAGCGTGCGGAACAATACGGGCAAATAAAATTTCAGTTAATGGTGGTGGGAGAAATCGTATTCGTCGTGCACCTGATCGTAGACAACCAAAAATATTTAATAAAGTTTAAATCTTTACGTAAAAACTGTTTCGCGCGGAAAAGAACCGAGAAGGTTACAGTCATAACTAAGAAACGGAATTTTCACCATAAAAAGGGGAACTTTAGTTGTAAAATATCGTTTTAATTTTGCGATATCGGAACAACAAAAAAAGTTATTTAAGCTTAAAAAACACAAAAATAATAAATTTTGAAACAATAAGAACTTTTTTCGCATAAGTGATATCAAAAAAATAAAAACGATATTTCACAGATAATGTTTTTAGCTATATTGTATATAAATTTGAAGTCTTAAACATTATTACAGTCTGAGTGGTTCTATCCGGCGTGAAACTATTTTTATGGACGAATTTATACATGTAAAGCGTTCTCTTAAACATTATATTTTTCTTGGTATCTAATCAAATGTAATAATTTATTTAATTCGTATAAATAACCTAATAAATATTTTGAATCATTATTAAAAAGTTGAATATAATAATTAGTCCTATTTTGATTTTTATCCTGTTATTTTATTAATTTTTAAAAAAAATAAAACGCAAGATTCGAAAATGCTTATTTAAATAATATAATAAAGTACCTACCTATAATATTTTTGGCGTATTAATTTTTTTAAAATAGGTAAAATAATTTTTTTTTAAAACACGTTTTAGATATTTGGACAGTACTGTAAAAATCATATGTGCAGACGGTGCACAGCATTGGGGCCCGCATGGTCAAAGGGCCCACAATAGATAGCCATCAATTTTTTTTCTTTCAATTTGATTCATGATTATTGTATTATTATCTTGTATTTAATTTTATTTAACAAAATGTAGAGTCTAGTCCGTTTTATTTGGAATTGTTTATCTAAATATTGGGAAAAATAAGCCTAGAGTGACATAAATAGATTACTTTTATATATATATTTTATTGTAAATCATATTTATAAAATCAATAATCATATATTCATATTATATATTTTATCTATCTTTGTACTTTATTTTACAAGTTTTTTTTATTAATAAAATCTACCCAATATATAATTGTGATGTTGTATACCTACTAAATTGAAGCTTTACACAGAATATTTTCAGCGAGAAAAGTATCCATCGGTTCTTTAAAATTCAATACATCCTCAAAAACTATCCGATCTAAGGAGTAAAAAATTCCCATAATCTGAAGTCCGATTTTTTTATGTATCTTAAGATAGAGGGGCCCATGTACATTTGTCTGCACCTGCATATTTGACACTCTTGTTACGTCACTGTATTTAGATGTATCCAATTGTAATATTGTCAAACAAGTCCTCGTTCCATTCCTCATGTGTACCATCGAAATTACTTATATTGTTATTACGTTAATTAAATTTTCTTAACACTTCTGAGATTTTATATGCTTATTTGTGATCAACCAACCATTTTTAACAGAGGCGCAAACCAGTTAGAACTTATTCTAAGAGGAAAAAATAATAGTATTCAATACCCACCTATAAATAAATTGGTCGCTGCACTTGCATAGTATTAAATACGTAATATAAATTTATGCTTTTTGTTATATCTGAAAATTGACTATTGTGTATTAATAAATTGCCCTCCTGTCTACTAAATTAAAGGGAACAATTTTCATCCATGTCCCTCTAAATTAGTGGCTCTGATTTTTATACTTATGCACTTTACGAAAAATATTACGTTTCTTTATAAATTTGTAAAATATTTATTTATTGATATATTGATATATCGATATTGAATAATTAAAACGTTTATCATCATTTTTTATGTGAATCATAACAAAACGTCTGTAGACAGATATTACAGGTATAGAATATTATGTTTATATTCATGATTTGAACAACAGTTATAAGTTAAAACTGAATTCCGTTTGAATTTAAATAGGGTTCTAGACAAATAAATTTATAAGATACGAGTCTAGAAATCTATTTTTTTAAGAAAAAACCGCCATTTAGAAATATAGTTAAGCAGTGCTTTGGTGGTTTCATTTCCATCACTTATTTAAAATTGTATATAAATGATTTTGGGCATTTTTGGGACACAGTCAACCCCTCAAAATATTTTTTATGCATACGGTCATTCATTGGCCATGAGACAGAACCCCTGCAGCTGACCTATTATAAAAGAAGGCTATATGATATAAGCGCCAAAAGTGCAAAAATGACATTACATTTATAAGACATACGTGCCAATTATTTAATATTATATGTCAGTTATGGGTATATGTAATAAGTAACAAATGTACAAAAATAACATATAATTTGCACCATAATTAATATTTTATACAAATATTTAAAATTGTCAACAATCGATAAAATATAATATACATAAAATTAATTTTAATTTAATAAATTGGTTGATTTTTAATCAAACCTTTTTCACATTTTCTAAACGACTCATTCCACTATTCTGGTACCTATTTCTTATGTTGTACAATTATGTCTTCGTGAGATATCATACATTTTTTTTAGGAAGAGATTTTATAGATAAATATATCTTTCGCTTCGGTATTTTAAAACCAAACATCAATTTATATCTATGATAAAGTAGAGTTAATATATATTTACGATTATTTTTTAGGTCACTTTTAGAAACAACTAAAGCTTATATTATGAACTCGTTACGAATGCCTGCAGCACAAACTCTTTTGTTATTTTGCCGAAACATTTGCACCAATCAAAATTTTTCTCAGTTAGTATTCATTGATATTTAGCCGAATAATAATTGTTATTTTTATTTTTATTGTTCTTTTTAGAATAATCTGTGACTCGTGGTTGCAACTGGAGTTTCCCTTACCCGAAGCTGCTGAATGTTTAATTCTAAAAGCTTCAAAACTTCGCAATACTTGGGATAAGCTTTTAAAACTTAAGCTCGAAGGTATCACTAATTTTTGTTGTTATATCATTTCAAAAACAACTTGTAATACTTTTAAACAAAAATATGTGTATGTTTTAGAAAAGAGTAACAGAAGAGCAGAACATAAGCTGTCCGAAGAAATGATACGGTTCATGAACGTGGAAATCGGTTACACCGTTAAAAGGCTCCTAGCAGCGGATCAAAAAATTATGTATGCTGGACCGTCGGGTGATAAGGTGTCATTTACGGGTCCTAATCCTTTCAGTGATGAATGGCAAGTGTGTGAAGACGATAAATATGGTGGCTTGAGGATGTCGCCGTACTTGACTTATGATTGGTGAGCCAAATATATTTATTTCGACAGTCATTATCTCATATGGTCAGTATGATGAATTTTTAGTTTAACGGGTCAAAGTCAAGTACTCTACGAACCGTGGATTTGTCCCTTATGCAAAAGTACAATAGAAGTGACAAGTGTTCTTGAAAGACTGCAACATCGGCAAGTATGCGACTCTCAAACCACTACCGGCACAGTCGAAGGTATGTACATACTTTTTATAATTGAAGTTTTCTTTGTGTAACATATCGTCTTTATGAATATTATACCTATTGGGTTATATATTATTAAAACTACATGAGCTAAAAAAAATTTGTCACCAAATAAAAAAATGTATGTGATTCCACATTATTACGTAAAATTCAGCTATAATTGTATATTATTTGTGCAAACAAGTGGGCTTCCCTCTGCGAGCGTGCTAAATTTTCGTTTTAAAAACGCATTCTAAACATAATATTATTTTTTTCTATGTATCATTTAAGTAGAATTTGTTAGCTTGTATAATGTACTCATATATACTTATGAATATAATACAAAACAAAATGTATATCCTAATCTGTAAATATAGTACTTCTAACTTATCATTTTGATGATTGATGATGTAGGTATATCACTGTTCAACTAATCTAAAACAGTTGAATACGATTTATTTAAGAAATAATTAATACTTGTTGTATTGATATTTATTAAATTAATTTAATTAATTTGTAATGAAACCTCAATGAAAAAATATTGATTTATTATTACTATACTAATTTCATATTTCTGATCAAACGTCCAATAAAAAAAGTACTTTTGAAGACATTTTAAAGGAAATAACTAAATAACCACGGTAAATGTATATATTTTCTAAATCACGATTAGTATAAAATAATTGTATTCTAAACTAAAGTTAGTGAGAAAGATTTAATATTGTTTAACTTGGTCAAAATGGTACTTTACGCATTTCCTATAGTTATTTATAGTTATTATTATTATATATATATTATATTATAATTCCTATAGTTATTAATTTTCTAATGAAAAATAAACTATTATTAATATAATAAAAAAAAATCTTAAATTATTTTGGGGAGGAGAAATTTCAAGCCAAAATATTCACACTTATGCGTATCTAGTACTTATATTTTCTAATTATTTGTATATGATATATGTTTAACTGATATGTAATATAAAACCATAAGATATTTTTATTTTTTTAACATTAACTATTTTATTACTACATTATGAAAATTCTTTCCGAATTGGGGTTTATATATTGTTATAACTTTTGACTTAATTAATGTATTGGCATCATTCTAAACCATTTAATATTCTTTAATTTTATTAATTTTAAAAACCCTATAATTTTATTTTGTATATTTTTACAGTTTTAACTTTCAGGTTGTAAAACCGTAATAATCTTGCCAAGTAGCTTAAATTTAATACATCTAGTATTTTTAACTATTAACACATGTAAAAGTAATTAAGTTTAAAAGTGTGTATACAAAATGTAAGACATTTGTATTACTCATAATTTTATTTTATGGCACAGTAATAATATGAATTAGGCATAAGATTTCATACGCAAACATGGACTGATCAATAAAAAATTAAACATGCATAGTTTTGTTATTTCGCTACACAAAATAATATTTTTGTGTATATATATATATAAGTTGTTTGTACATTTAATTCCTTGGATAATTTGTTTGGTTAAGTTACTTTTGAAAATATTATTCACAAAATTAGTTTTTAACATTCAAATGTTATACATACTCGTAAGCCATTTGACGATTATATTTTTAACTGCAGTTATTCCAATTTTATTATTTTTAAACTTATTGTACTATTTTAAATAAATTACAATATAATTTTACTGTTTTAATTTGTATAATATTTAAATTTAGGTAGATATTTCAGTGTATTAGACAGTTCCTATTTATTTTCAAATACTGACAGTATTTTTTTGACAAAACAAACTAAACAAAAAATATATAAAGTGAACATATTATTAAAAATACTAGCTGACCCGACAAACGTTGTTTTGTCATATAAATTATTTCTAGAGAATATTTTGCTAGAAAAAAATAGCTAATTTAATATAGGCATGTAAGGATGTGGATATGGATAAGGATGTAAGGAAGAGGTATGGAGTGCTATGAACGGTGACGAAATATAAAAATGAAAAAACATCAAACATTTATTTTTTTAATAATTTATTAAAATTGATCTATTTTAATTAAAATTATATATATCGCTAATTATGACAATATTAGTAAAAAAAAATATCTATCCCTTAATGCAACAGAGTGTACAATATTTTTTGTTATCTTATCATACGCCAACATAAACTGGATAGTTCGAGAGCACGCCACGTATAATTGTCCGTGTGAAAAATATGATGTGCTCAAATCTAAGCCACATATAGACATCGTTTGGTCTTGAGACTTATTAATAGTCATTGCAAATGCCAATCTAATTGGAAATTGAAGGCGTTTAAATTATATTGGCACATATAGGTATAATAGGGATTCGCGGTAATAATATATTTTTACTTCAGAATTTGACATTTAAAATAGTAGCTTCGATAACATTTTTCATTAATTTTTTAACGACTTATCGCGTGCCGTTGTACAACCGTGGTGGGTCAAATTACGAAGTAAAATAACCAGAGATCAAACCTTCAATTGTAAATTATGCGGGGGCATGCCTAGTAAATACAATGAGTTTAAAAACTCTGTTGGATAATTTACAGCTTCAGTAGCATCGCAAACTGTATCAATAGATTTGTATGACACTAAGTCTCCTGGTAACAAATGTTGTATCTTGAGATTCAATTCGTTGACGTCCACATATTTTGCTGTTAAAATTGCTCTTTCTGCCAGCCACTCATGATTTGTGTATTATCTGTGTACATAGGGAAATATCTGGTTAATGGGAGTATCTTGTGAATCAATGATTATGCAGAAATCGGTCGGTTATTGTATGCATCCCGTTTCATCTGTAGTAACTTTCTCATCTCTAATATCTAACAATTGTTTTAAGAATCTTCCGCACGCAGCTTTTTTTGATTGAATCGCAAGTATCGAAATCGTTAGCTCTCTATCTTTGCATACATTTCGACCATGAATTGTCGACAAAGCTCATGACATCGTAGAATAACTTTGTCCTGATCGCGTCTAAACATCAACCGATATGCATAATAATTCTTCGAACTAACATTCTTATTTGTTTTGGCACCTGTTGCGGGATCTTTTTGTTTAATTTTTATGCAATAACCGTCATTTAATATCAAAAATTAAATTAATAGTTTATAATAATTTTTTAATAGTTTTATTTAATAATTAATTTTCAATTGCGCAGTTATCGACCGGGTCAAAATTTATTAAATTAAACTATGATTTATTAAACAATAGCACTTTTCCAAAAATTTTCGTAAAAACCTTCTCCTGTCAATTACGAACAATTAAAAAAAATTTGAGCCAAATCAGCCCAGCCGTTCTCAATTGATGAAATGTACATTTTTGGCTTCATATATATATATATATAGAATGGCACTATAATGTATTTTAAGTACGGCAAAATGGATATTTGTCAATTAAATTCTATATTATTAGGCTTGATAAAATGAAATAATTAATATTCTTTAGGAGTACTAGCTAAGAATATATTATATACAATTACATAAGCGTAACAGTTGTAAAAATACAGAAAGTGTCATTAATGTGTGGCTTCTTTCGTCAATCTGTTAAAGTTGTTTTTTTTTTACAATATAGTCTATACTCTTATTGTATAAATAGGCACAGATTAGGTTTAAATAAAATAAGAAAAACATTTTTTTAAAAAAAAATATCATATTTTCCTTTTCAGTTTGCGGGTATTATTTTTATTAAATTATTATTTACTATACAATACTGAAATAAAACTGTCTTTAAGAATATCTATTCATGCAAGAAGTTTATAAAAATTATAATTTATTTATTTGGATACATAATGATATCGTGTTTTTGTAATCTTTCGCTATTGTAAATTTGGGAGTCATTATTCCGTTTTAAAAACAAAAAAAACACATAAATATGCATTTAATGAATTGGATTCTTGAAAGATGGACTTGAACTTTTAACGAATACCTATATTAATACTATAATAAATTAACATTTTCTGTATTACATGATTATCATTAAATCTTCATCTAAATAATAATTTTATGTTTAATTCTACTCATTCGTTATAGTAGAAAAGTTACACAAATTAAAAATTATGATATTTTTCATAGAAAACTACTCGGTAAAACATAAGATTTGGTTGAGTAACTCGAAGGAGTATCATTTTAATATGAAAACAATGGATTCGTACGTATGTATATCACATATAGGTATACTTTTTACAACTTAAGTTTCCGTTACATCCGTACGACTGTACGCATAAAAGTTATATAGTGATATAGCTTTAAATTAGTTTACTCTGTAGATACTGCCTTAATTAATTTAACCGGAATATAATATTATTTTATTCATCATGGTACATGAATGCTCTATTTGAATCTTTCATTCTTAGCTTCATTTCATTATGCATATGGTTTTTGTTGACTTCTGTTCAGAGTTTATTGACAGTTGGTGGAAGTTTAAATTTAACTTATCAACTAATGTCTTTTTGACAGCTTGATTTTGTTCTATATAATTATTTATGGTAGAACTTCGATACGTTTGTAATTCTTTAATTTTTTGTTTTCCGAAATAATATCATCAATATATATGTTACCGGCAATGTGTTGAGTATAGGCATTCTATAGAATCCCTTGTACCATTGGGCAGTGTATTAAATTGTAATGTTATTTTAAATAATGCCTAGAGGCAATCTATAAAATTTCTAGAATTTTTATAGAATGCCAATGCTACGTTAGGTAAAGTATGAATTTAAAATAGAATTTAATCAAAAAAAATGTTTATAATTTTAATTTAGTTATTGTAGCATATAGTTGATGCATGAAATTTTGAATTACATAAAATATTATTTTTTTTACAATAACATTTTTAGGTTTCACACTTAGTTTTGCATGTACATTTGAAAAAAAACTTTGTGCAGTTCCCGTTGACTGATGGGTTGCTATGGTTCATAAGGCTAAAATGTTTTCTATTAGAACTTCATGTGTATCAATGATATTTTTTTGGTAAATTGTGAATTGAGATCTGGAATATAAAGATTTCAGTAAGCCTTCCTGGGTTCCTAAACGATAATAACCATTGGCAGTAATCCGAAAACATATTAAAATAATCATAAACAATAAAATATTAATAACTATATATTATTTCATAAATTATGTTTACTTCAGTAACAACAGCTAAAATTCAAGTATCTCCGCAACCTTTGTCCACAACAGGAACTGGAACTCAAACTGTAGCACAAATGTCTGCAGGCTTAAGTTTTTTATTTGACCATGTTTTCATTTTAACTCCTTGATTTTTAAGATTTAGTTTAGCTTCTCTTCGCTTTTCTATCGAATTTTCATTATTTTATTGAATCGTAGATATTGGATCTTCTAACTTTTCAATAGTATTTGCTTTATCTATGGTCATCACATTATCTTTTTATAACATTGAATTTCATATTTTTAAATTATTTATAATAATTGTTCTTCGTTTTCTAAATTATCAATTACTTCTTTTGGTAAATTAAAAGTACTAAACCCAACTTTGACTTTGCAGCCAAAAAATGCTTCATATAGTGATATCTTAATTCCAAAATATAACACCCTATAAGAACGAATTTCAATCCTTGACTCCAGTGAGAATTTTTCTCTATCTGCATTCATGTTGTAAGCATATTCTCAACGTCTTGGTTCGCTCTTTCAACACTACCTTAACTTTGGCGGTGCCTTGGCTTACCGTGAACAATTTTAAGTTCAGGCCACATGTCTTTTAAATTTAAAACAATGTTATTTGAGAATTCCCAACCGTTATTGGACTGTAAGATAGACGGAGTTCCGATAAGCGTAAAAATATCTACGATGTTAAAAGCTATTTCCTCTGCTCTTTTATATTCAAGTGGTTTAAAAATTATAAATTTGGTAAGGTGATCTTGATATACTAAAATAAATTTATATTTTCCATCAAGATGTGACTGAAAATCAATCAGGTCAAGTTGACATCGTGAATTGTATTCCGTTAAAATAATATATTTAATATATTATTATATATATATTATATAATAAACCTAAAAATATATAATAGGTTTGATCACTACTCCTTTTTTTACGCCTTTCTGTTTCTGTTGACACGATTCGCATTATTGTAAGAAAACTTCTATATCACTCCGAATTATATTTTTATATTTTAATGAAAGTTCAGAAATCTTTTTGTCACGGCCACCATGACTAATAGAATCATGTGTCGCTTTTAGAATTTCATATAGTTCGCCATCATTAACGTAAAATAATACTTTGCCTTCTACATTTACTGGAAAAATTAATTTCCTAATTTGCTGTACAATTAAAATATCTTATTTAATAAAAACCAAAAATAAAGAAAATAAGAAAATTTACAAATTTTCAATAAAATTGTAATATGTAGCTAATAATTTGGTAAAAATAGATAAATACCTTTGAAGCATCCAATAATGGCGTGACGTTTTCTTTTTCTTCTGACCATTTTTAAGTAGAGAAAATTCATAAAATATTTCATCGTATTTCTTATTTGATAGAAAAACAATATTTTTTAAACTTTTTCTGGTTTTAGTTAATTCGGTATGAAACCGTTTCGATATCTTTGTATAACAAGAAATCAAAGAACACTGAATTGAAACTTGGATTTGATTAAATCCATCACATATTTATCTCGTAATCAATTATGCTATAACATTATTTTACCTATTTTCACAAAATGGCATGATAAGCAATTTATCTGTAGTATCTTATGATTATCGGACATTTAAATGTGTAAAATATAAATAAACTCACTAAAATATAATAATTACATGTCAATTATATACATTTCCTGCTTGAGGTTTGGTATTCTATAGAATACCTAATCATTATATCAATTTTATACTTTTCCTGCTCATTTTTGGCATTCTATAGAGTGCCCGATTCAACACTGCCGGTAACATATTCATCAACAAATGTATGCTTTATGTCCGATACATATTCCTCTCCCTGTTAAAACAAATATTTTATACTACCAGAAAGTTATGTTAACTTGTAGATCAATAATAAAACATTAATATTATAATTATGCAAGAATAACTTACATTGCTGTGTTCGTATTAAAATAATATTAGCTGTATTAACATTAACGAAGTTGACAATTATACTATGTTTCAACCATTCGCTTGATAGGATAAATTATTAACTGAGTTTAGTTTGTATCATTACAGTGATTACTAAAACAATAAAATATTTATGTACCTAGCTTTCAAACAATACATTTAATGTAACGATTTATGTATTTTTTTTTTATCATCATAATAATATCATTATTATATCTTAAATAAAAATAAAGGTGAAACTCCTAGGTTGAGGATAATATAAAGGAAGGAATGAATAGCATTGATATATTGTTATTTTAAACTTGGAACCTATCTATCATTTTAAGAAGAATAATTATTGGGATCAACAAATATCACCCTAAAGTGTGCTTTAAAAAAATATTTTTAATTTTGTTGTTTTATATGAAATAGTTTTCCAACTTATCCGTCCTAGCTTTGGTTGATACTGTTTTCAAAAACATTAAAAAATATTGATGTTTTTTGCATTAATAACAAAGTTTTTAAGAAAAATACAATATTGCTGGTTTATATTTTAAATTATTTGAAAGTTCTTCATGACTTTTTAATTTCTTTTATTATGGTCATTTGAAAAAATAACAAAATAATCAAGTATAATAAATATTATGTATTTACTTTTATTAAGAACGTATTCGTTGATTGTTAAGTTTTTAAATTACGTTGCTTAAGGTTAATATCATGGAAATTATTAACAACCATTATTTTTATGGCGTCCAACCCATAATCGTAAACACCATAACAATTTACTTTTCACTATAAGTTTGTAAAAGTTTGGTGATCATCGGTGTTATTTGTTTATAATTGAAATAAAAACAATTATAAATGTTTTTTTTTAAATCAATGTCCTAAACTAGTTACTTACTTTTTTAAGTACTTACTTACTACTTAATTTTTTTATTTACTTTTGAGTTTTGAACTTTCGGAGTTCTATACGTGTTTTAGAAGTGCTAAATCAGTAATACTGATTTTTGAGTTGTATTAAGCCTGGGGTAATGAACCTCTTTCTAGTTGTTTGTTTAAATGTTAAAATTAAAATTTTTGAAGTGTTCTACATGTCTAAATATGCGTCGAGAAATAAAAGTATTTTTATATTATATAAAAAATAGTTTTTTAGAAATAACCCTAATTTAAGGTATTTTTTTATACATTTTTTTAATATGTAATTGAAATTTAGCAAACGTGCTTTATGGGTTTACCACGCTTGTCCTGTACTTATATATTTTTTGATATTTACAATTGGTATTCTCATTATCACTCGCCAATTATGCTGTTTACAATGTCTAGCAAGAATTAGACTATCAGTCATATTTACATGATTATTTAAACGTTTTTCTACAACCTTATTAGACAGTATAATTGTATCAAACATATCTTTGATTTCCGTATATTTAATTCTTATAACATAACATATAATACATCGTTATGTATTCGTTATAAATATAATGTGTTTTAAAATGTATATAATAGTCGCTGTATTTACATAAAAGAAATGAAAACATGTATATATAAAATTAAAAAAGAATTTAAATGTTACAGCTGAAGTGCAATAATTAGTAATTATCGCATTATGTTTTTAACAAATTTATGATTTAAAGGTTTAACATCTTTTAATACGTAAATTTGTTATAGTTTTTTCACGGTAATAACTTAAATAATTAAGTAAGTAATAAATATCATTAAGAATTTCTTTCAATAAATTACTTTATGTTTTAAAAACTTAATATTTAAAAAATTATTCATTATTAATTTATGCTATTAGATTTTCTCGAATAAATCTACATCAAATATCCATAACCATGTATGATTTGTTCAAATACATAGTAGGTACCTATATTCAATAATAAAGTATTTAATTATTTTCTATTAAATTTGTACTGTGCATATTATTTTATTTTATTTTATTATTATATATATTATAATTATTTTATATATTTTATTTTTAGAGAGTATCTATTAATTATATTTCACCAAAATATTTCACAACTTAAAAAACAATCTATTTTCTTACCAGCCAGATATTTTAAGGGCGTTTTTAGTAGGTCTTTCAATTTATTTCCGTTGGTCGTTTTGACATTTTTGTTTGTGTGTCATATATCTTTGCCATTAAATGATAAAATTTATGTTTGATGAAGACAGATATTATTTCATATTTTTGTACTGATATTTTATTTCCCGTTTAATATTTACGTAAAATAATTTTATAAGCTTCTGGTTATATTGAGTTTTTAATAAATTTAACTTCTACGGTTATAAACAATCAGAATATATTGTAAATAATATTAATATGATATAATTGACATTATCTTAATATTAAGTTATTTTCAAGAATATTGAAATAAATAATTGAAGCTGAGTTTCACTAAATCTAAAAAAAATATGATTACCATTCAAAATTATTATTCAATTTGTATAATATACTGTATTATAAAAAATATTTAATATTTTTTTCTGCGTATGGTTCTAAAATATTGTATACGAAAAAACACCAACATATTTTATTCCCTTTTGTTAGTATAAAATACTTGAACTCATATTGAAATGTTTAATTGAATGTAAATATTTCATTGAAAACTATTTACCCTTTTAAAATAATCAACTTATTACGTAGTTATATAATATAATATTTATGCACATATAGTATGTTATATAGTAACTACTTTTAATCGAACTTCGAGTTTAGTTGAGTTACTAGTTTCGTGATGTTTATAATTGAATCCTTTCTTTACATTCGTGAATGCCTAATTAATGTTGTTTACGATACAACTCATTAATATTGCTGTTTTTTTTTTTTTGTTTAGGCGCAGCACAAGAAGATAACACAGTGAAACTAAAACCGAATGCAAAGCGTTACACCTGTCCGGATTGTTCGGAAGTATTATATTTGACTCCTACTGAAATGTTAAAACATAAAAAATCACATTTACAAGATAACTAATTGATAAAACATTTATACTATCATTAAACATTTTTCACGCTGAATTTCAAGTTTTATTTTATACTATTATAATTATTATTATTATTATTTTTTTTATCCTTTAGACGTGTACCGAGAAATTATTAAATTTTTTTTTTGCAATTTAAAATTGGCCTTTTAAATTAAAAATATTGTTATTTATTTCGAAGTATGAAATATCAAATGAGTATAAATACCGATAGAACTTTACTATGAAAATCAGCTAAGAAAAACGATAATATTGATCCGTTAACTAATATGTGTCAAAAATAATATGCAATGAAGACGAAAATAATCTAAACAATGGAAGAGTTTTTATACGAAACTGAACGTATGATGTCCACGACCAGATCATACCGAAATGTGCAAAATATAATTCCATATTTTGAATGACAGTAACGATGACTTGGTGTAATCGAATTTTTTTTCACATTTATTTCGAGTTTTTGACTTGTAAAATAATCAATCTCTCAAGCACCACACAATAAGTACGGGCGTTACGTAAACATAATAATAAATTGGTTTGAATCTCGCTCGTTATTACGGATCGCTGAGTTGTATATGTAAGAACAAAATGATAAATAATAACGAGTTGTTGGAGGATAAAGTTGAATAATTAAATTATTTCGTTAGGTTATTATTTTAGTTAATTTTTTTTTTTTTTTCTAACCGGGAACCAACTTATGCGTGCTAATTGCTAATCTGAAATAATCCTGTGGAACTTGCGTGAATTTCCCCTTCCCTCGGTTTAATGTTATTTGCCTTAAACTTAAACTGATATTTCGCAACGAGATGTAGCAACTTTTACCAAAACTTCGGTAAAAAAAAGTTTAAAAATAAAAAATTATAGAAATCATTGTTTATACAATACAAAATATTTCTGAGGTTTATCCGTATATTAATATAGAATTTAGTATGATTGTATATACTCCAGCTTTAAATTGTTCAACGAAACGGTATTTTTCCACATCAAGAGAGTTAAGAACTATTCAAGATCAACAATGAAAGAAAAAAGACTTAATTCCTAAACTGTTACAGGTAGGAATGGATATCACAAATACATTTTACTACAGAGATTTTATTGGAGATTTTTCCAGTAAACAATCCAGGAAAAATATACATACACATGTTATTGAATTTATTTTCGTTATTTTTTTTTTTTTTTGTAGCATATAATACAATTCATCAATCGTATGAATATTATCAAATGCTATGCAATTGACGAACTGCTCAGCACCAGTGATATAAATGAACAATTATAATTGCTCATTTATTAATAACATTTGTATATCATTGGTTTAACAGAGATCAGTGAAATAAAAAAAATTAAAAAAACCAACGTAATAAACAATTATGTTGCACAAAACAATTGTTCAATCACACAACATAAATTATATTTCCAAATAATGTGTAAAATTAAATGAGTTTGTTTATATCACACGGGGACGACTTTGTTGGAGTCTATTCCGTCGAGCGACTATAAACGAATTATTTATATCCTCTAAATAAATACCACCATTGAACAGTGTATATGAAGCGATGGTGATGGTATAAATAGTTCCATTGATGCGACGGAAAACGGCTCTGATCTACGTGCGAAACGTTATCAGTTTGCCAGTAGCCGACCGCGGGCAATCAGACCGCGCGACCGTTAACAATTTAATCGTTCGAAATATTTTACATATTACGTGGTCGGTAGGCAACTCGTAGGCGTTTGTGCGGAATTCCCGTTGGATTTCGAATCGTCTTGCAGCGATTTCTGTGCAACACACAGCCGTGTTTGCTATTTATCGAGGAATTTCTCCTACTTGAAAGTTTTTTTTTTCCGAAACGATTACATATTTATTGCACCGTTCCCGTTGATCGTCTGACGATCCGTTTCATCGCTTATTTTCCACCCGCCGAGAACATACGTGTCTTGTCTAATCGTTACTCATGCCGGTTGTCTTCAAATGTTTACCGTGCTCCTTTTTCAGATACGGTGCAGAAGTACTTGTTTGATTTTCACCATTTCCATCCGTGCGATGAGATTTTGGACAGCCGATCTAAACAATTCTACCATGGACCCAACGAAGAGACCTTTTTCCCTCGTTAATTTATGATCAATTCTTTCAGAAGCGTTTTTCGAAATGTTTACGTGACGTGTTGAGAACAAACATGATGACGATATCGTTTTCTCGTCAGATCTGTCATCGCGTCCCTCTCGTCCGAGAAATCAAAACGTTATTATAATGATGACAAATCCGCTAACGTAAAGAATTCTTAACAGTTGCAACCGAGCACGCGTGTATTAATAAACGGGGAAAATATTGAACTTAAATTTAAATAATACGAGGATACCTATACCGAATGGCATAATATTATACTAACAGAACGCGCATCGTATAATGTATACCACGAAATTCTGCGCAGCGTTCATATTTATTGTAACGTTGTATAATTTATGTATGATATACAGCTTTTACAAACAACGAGGGGGGTCTGATAAATCAACTTTCCACCTCTGGTTGTCGTACGACTATATTCTGTTGTCAACATTCTTGAACTTGCTATTAGAATACTATAACGCATTTGTACGATACGATTGCACGCATCATGTGTTAATACGTAGCCTAAAGTGATTAATAAAAAATAAAAATAAAAAAAATAATAAAAAAATCTTCACCACGATAACTACGCGCACACTACCACCTTTAGCCATCTTTCAACATCTAATCCAAATTTCTAAAGAAGCGGAACCGTTGACGTATGTACAGGGTAATCGCTTAATCGTTTGTCCGTTTTACGATTATACCGTGCGTTTGTTCGAATTCCGATTTATGGAAATGCTTACATCCTATAACATTTTTGAAAATCACTAAACGGCTTGGGCCGCCGATACGAACCGTTCACCGATATCACGATTATGTAGAAAGATCTAACATCATAAAACGGTACCTTTCTCTCGTAGAAATGAGTTGACCATGAAGTTTTCGTATGAAATGCTATCTTCTACTCCGGTAAACAAAATATTGAATGGTCTGGTCAATAGCCAACCAACTTACAACTTTTAGCCCACCTCATCAAAGGACTTACTTTAAGGGGTTGGAAGTTCAACCCCTTCCAAAAATGTTTTATCTATTTTAGCGTTTAGGTATTTAAACGTCTTAATTAGTAATTATTTATTGGACATTTATAGTTAAATGGATAAATTTACTACTAATTCCACCATGGATTCACCACCCACCACCTTAAAAAAAAAGGCCGATCATGACCAAACTTGAACTCCGAGTTTGACGCCTCTGTTGTACCTACTCCGATTTCTTCCAGTAACTGCTTGCACTCCATCATCTCTTTTTAAAATCCAATTTCATACCAAATGACCTCTTTTTTTTTTTTTTGTATTATACAATACACTACATTTTCAGTAGCAGTACGTTTTCGGTCCGACACGTTTCGTATAAAATATTGTAATTAATCAATTACCTACGCTATAAGTGCTCTAGAGAAAAATATCATGAACAAATTTATACGGTTACACGGACTATAAGCCGATCTAGGTAGATTGACTGCACTCTTTCAGAGACTATTCTGTCTAGAGCTAATTTTTTCAAATTTCTTTACAGTATAAACATATTATAGTATATCTTTACGCTTTTCCTAAGTTGTTTAAAATTTAAATGGTTCCGAAAGCACTGGTCTAAATGATTACTGTGTTATATCATCGATTCCGAAAAAATTAATAGAATAAACAGGGGTGCAATTTCAATGAAAAAACTGGGGGTGCTGAAGCCCTTCTATCTTTTTCATGTTCCTTAATTGTTATAGACACCCGCAAACCGTACAATTCAACAGTTACTAAAATATTTGATAAATGTATGAATATTTCTAAATTTAAATTGTTCACTTTGATTTTATATTTTTATTGTGCGTATAACGAATTACCTGTCTGTAAACACAAATTTTTTATCACTTTTAGATTTTGACTGAAGCGAAGGATATTATAGTTTTATAATGGTTTGTATTTTATTTGTTAAACACTTTTTCAGATAGAAATACTGGTTCAAAAATTTTTTTAGGACACTTTTTAGATTTTAAATTGGCATGCGGTGGTACTTTAAATAGGTCATTTTTTTAAATCCTAATAGTTTTTCTAGATGTGAGGAAAAAACTGTCCTGAAATGGTAAAAATATGCTGTAAATAAGACTTTCTTATTTCAAATTTTAGTTATTTAGTCATAATTCCAAAAGTAATGTGGCTAGAAATTTGAAAATTTTACACTATAGCAAAGATATTTTTTTTTCGTATTTTGAAATATTTTCGTATTGTATATGTTGTAAAAATGTATATATTTATACAAAAAAACTTAAAAACTATTATGTTTTTCTATACATAATGAGTAATGAGTATTTAAATGTAAACTGACATAAACACATCTGGAGGTGTTAATTTCGAAAATGTGGGTGCTAAGCACAACCAAGCCCACCCCATATTGTGCCTATGAGAATAAGTAAAGCAAATATGTTGTTTCCGTTTGAAAAACAAAAGTCATTATCGTCCACCTGGTAGATACTTAATTATTTTTATATGTATACAATCTATGAATCGGAAAACAAAGTTTTATTTAGGTTAACCTACTAACACGTAAGTTCTCCATGTATAGGAATTTGAAAATAATATCCTTAGTTTGAGCATACAAAATGGATGAGCATGATTAAAATAATCATTTAATTGTCTAACCTATAGTCTAACCATGTTTAACCCGAATAATGTATATCCCCCAAAAATTGTAGCTTTTTAGTTTTTGTTAACATTAACTGTATGCGAAGAATTACCTAAAGCAACTTGTTCATAGAGTTGTTACATTTAGGTAAATCATAAAACAAAAATTATTAAAAATAGTAAGTATTAATTCAAACGCTGGATGCTACTACGACGTCGTTACAGCACCCGGACGGGGAATTCGGTTTTGCGTAAAAGGAAAAAGGTTTCAAATGTATTTAAGGAGGGTACAAATGGATACAAATCGAGTACAAACA